AAGAACTCCTTTGTGTATCAATAGGCTATATTACGTGGCATTACCACCCGTGGCCACAATAAAAAAAGAAAATAAACCACCACCCATTTAGTATCTCTAGGGTAGTCTTCCAAATGGAAACCAGTGGGTGTAACATACGTGTAAACACCAGTCATACTCCCACAATCTCAAAGATCGGCAAATACATTTTCCAGCGCAATGTCATGCCGCTGATGTCTGCCTGCAAATGATGGGCTCAGTGCCCATATTTACTTGTTGGAAAGCAACGTCGACTGTTCTATCTCAATAAAAACTGAAACGATCCATCCGCTGTAGAGTCCCATTGAAAACTTGAGTAAATGCAAACGTGAATGTTTTTGTTAGCTCCTCCAGTGATCAAGAAACAGGTGTGGCTGAACATGCTTGGAGGGACCTATGTGAAGCTAGCAACAATAACGATTAGCTACACTAGTGGAATTTGCCTTCAAAATAAAAATTCCCCATTGAAAGTGATGCAAACGGACAGAAATTGTGGAATTATGCCATATTTGGACTAGATAATGGTAAACAAGGTTGGAATGTTGTTATGTAAATTCAACAAAATACAATAATTAGTTAATTTGACCAACAACAAAAAAAGTCAGTTGAAATCGCACTGTGGATGTGTTAGACTTCAGAATTGCTTTTGGGCATACTTATATTTCACTGTACAATCTTACCTATGGATTGTGGATCAATGAAGTGGTGTATCAGCCTACTCAGTGACACCCACAGAACACACCTGTGAAGAGTTTACACAAATATTAGCGTCTTAACTCTTATTAGGGGACTTTGTGGTAAATCACCTCCCCAGTCACCCTATTGTGCGCATTGATATTCATATTTCACTGTACAGCCTTACGTATGGATTGTGGATCCATGAAATGGGGTATGAAATATGAATGTCAATACATGTAATAGGCTGAATAGTGAGTGGAATTGCCACAGTTAAAGTTCCCTTATAAGAGCTACAATGCTAATATTTGTGTAAACCCTTCACATATGTGTTCTGTGGGTGTCACTGAGTAGACTGATACCCCAATTCCATGGATCCACAATCCATAGGTAAAGCTGAACATTCCAATATGAATGTTCAATACACATTGTAGGTTGACTGGTGAACTAATGTGGCTCAGTTCACACTTTTGTCAAAGACCTGCAATAAGAGCTATGATGCTAATATTTGTGTCAACTCTTCACAGTTGTGTTGAGTAGACTGATACCCAATTCCATGGATACACAATCCATATGTAAGGCTGTACAGTGAAATATGAATGTCAATACCCACAATAGGCTGACTGGGGAGGTGATTTACCACAAAGTCCCCTAATAGATTTAATTGGGATCCCCATTAGCCGACGCCAATTGCGACAGCTAGTCTTACGACACTCATATTTGGGTAAACCCTTCACAGTTATGTTCTGTGGGTGTCACTGAGTAGGCTGATACACCATTTCATGGAGACACAATCCATAGGTAAGGCTGTACAGTGAAATATAAGTATGCCCACAAAGCAATTCTGAAGTCTAACACATTTGTTGTTGTGTGAAATTAACTCATTATTGTATTTTGTTGAATTTATATAACAACATCCCAACCTTGTTTAGCATTATCTAGTACAAATGGCATCACTTTCAAGGTGGAACTTTTATTTTGAAGGCGAACCGCAAATTCCACTATTGTGGCTAATCGTTATTGTGGCCAGCTTCACATAGGTCTTGGAGGGGGGGCGCTACCTCCCACCACCCCTGGGTCCTAGGGCCTTTATCGACCGCCTACTGCGTGCAGCTGTGTGCATGTCATCGAGAGTGCATGCTTGTAACCTATTTATACTTGACTATTTTCAATAAGAGTGCCCTCTGTTTTGGATCCTAAAAAACTCTAACGAAAGCCCCAATGGTAATGAGGGAATATCACAAAAGCACAGAACAGAAAAAAGTAGAAATCTTGGCCAAATACTTTCAGAAGGTTATTGAAGCAGGTGGGGCTACTACAAATCCTAACAGCTTAGAAACAATACTACAGTCAGTTATATACAGTACCTCTCAACCTTCTCTCTCAGTGCCTGTGTGTTGTGCAGGGCAGGAGCACAGAGAAATCAGTTGTCCTGTTTCCCTTTTTAGGCTATTTACATTTTACATTTTAGTCATGTAGTAGACGCTCTTATCCAGAGCGACTTACAGTTAGTGAATGCATACATTTTCATACCACCACTAGGACAGACTTGGCCCTGTTACAGCACCAGAGTTATGTTGAACGCTGCTATGTGAACATGTGCAGTGGGAAGGCCAGGCTAGCTCATACCCCAACATTGAGGGGTTGTATTGACATGACTTGACACAGTGTTGCATTTGGTTTACATTTACATTTGGTACTACATTTTAGTAAACAAATTACGAACTAAATCACATCCTTTAGAATTAATGGAACCTAGTGAAATAGTTTTTTGTTTGCTCAGGCTACTGTGCAAACAGGGATTATCAGAATTGGTGCTGGGCCTATGAGAGTGATCCCATCTGCTTCTTTTGACCTTTGGCTTTTGCTCAGTGCGAATGTGGTTCCTTTAGTATAATGTTGACTTCAATCTGGCCAGTCATTTCAAATTGTCTCTAAGCTTGAAGTAAGATGCTGTGCTCATCAACAGAGTACTTCAAATGCAGACTGTTATGTAGATTGTTTTAATAACGTTAGTTTGGATGATAAATCTATTGCATTTTTGTATTCATATTATGATCACAGTGCACTGTTTTCCATATGAAAGCCTTAACCCAGATTAAACATTCATGTTTTTCCAGAGCAGCACAGTGTTACCCATAGCTCACCCCAAAATGAAAATCACTCCCCCAGTGTAACCAGATGGGTCCCAGGCAGGCAGTGATGTGGGCGCTGCATTGTGAATGGGGCTTTCAAAGTCTGCTGGAGGTCTTCCTCCTATTATTAATTAATGTGAGTAGTGAGACAGCGCTGTGGGTCAGTGGTTGCAAACTGTAGTGGTTGTTTACTTTCTGAAAGCAAGGCGGCAGTGTAGGACTAAGGCCCTGTCATTAGAGGCCTAGCAGGCCTTTAGGACCCCCACCCTAGTGTAGTGTATACCCCACAGTATGTACACACATACTCCTTATTACGTCTTTGAACAAAAAGCTGAACACATTTTTGGCCCGGATTCAAACGAATTAAATCAGTTTGAAACAGTAAATCCTACAGTCATCAGATGCATGTAGATGTTCAATTGTGTACTATTCAGTAGTAACATTCAGTAGCCTTATTTAATAGAACATTCTAAACTAAAGCAGAGAGACTTCAGAGGGAACATAACCCTCAGACATAAATTCAGCTGTCAGGTCTATCAGAGATGTGTTAGGTACGTGGAGGGCATGGGTATATGAGGCAGGGCGTAAGGACGTTGTGCTAAGCCTTTGCTTCTGCTTCTGCTGCTGTGTATGTGTGTGTTTGTTGTGTGTGTGTGTGTATGTGTGTGTGTGTTTGTGTGTGTGTACGTGTGTGTGTGTCATTGCCAGCTGACGCTGTGGTCAGAGCCTCGGATGAGTCTAGTCAGCAGATGAAGCCCATGCCTGATTGGACACTGGGGTAATGACTTAACGAGATGAAGCATGTACAAAAAATCTGTCACATTTTACCTTGTATTTGCCATACTGACTGTACTGGGACTAACTTTTAATAAAATTACAATGTTCTTTTATACGTTGGTATTGTTGTGGGTCGTTAAGAAGGTTCACTTGGGAATTATAATCTTTTGTCATGAGTAGACAGACTGCAGGGCAAATTCTTTCCTCCCTATGTCAGCTCTTGTTTAGCAAAACCACACACAGTGACGTAATCACAGCCGTCATGTGAATGGTTCCATAGAAATTGAGGCCATCTAGTGGCCATTGTAATAATGTATCAACTTGTAAAGATGTTACAATGTTATAAGGCAGCAATGATAGCCTTACAAACAATGAAACGTAGTTACATTTGCCTCATACTGCATGTTTATCCTGTTTGATTTCCATCAGTGTAAAAATACCACCTCTCTAATCTACTCACTATGGACGTCACAAGAGATCATAGGTCAAATTGAACTCAATTAAATGTGAGGTGATTCCGGTAGTACCAGTAATCTGGATTGCTCTCTTCCATTGTTAACTGGTGAACTCAGAAAGTGGGGCCACACCACATGCCCACCAGCCTTGTAAACAAACAAGCAAACAAACAAACAAAGCTACAGTAAAGTATGATGTCATTATGAGCTGTGTGATTGCCAAATGCACAACATCTACCCATTAGTTCCTCTAACATCATGCTTGTTTCCCATTTTAGACACTTAAAGGAGGGGCATGTATCTCTACTAGATGTCACAAAAATCACATAATGAGACATCTTTGTCAAAATTGGCCATGGGCAAGTGTCCTAATCTGGCCCAGTTAAAGCACAATGCAGTCAAAAACGTGATTTTCCTGAGTTTTATATATATATTTCCACACTATGTGGTTGGAATAATATTGTGAAAGTGTGAAAATTATCATAATACCCTTTTAGCGTAAGAGCTGTTTGAAAAAAGACTGGTGACATCACCATGCCCTACATTTGTTAATAGACCAATAAAGAAGAGCATTCCAAAACTCTCTGCCAATAACAGCTAGTTCTCACTTTTCCCCTACCCACTCAGAACAATCCCAGAAAGTCCTAGCAAAATTCTTGCTTGAGAAATGTCTCTTTGCTAAAAATCTATTTTTGTTTCTTTTTAACTATTTTAATTTAAAACAATCACAGTAAGGTACTTAATTGTTACCCAGAAATTATTTGATATTCAGATAAAAACGGCTGCATTGGACCTTTAAAGTAGAGCACCCTATCCAATGGTTGAAGGCAGATCTAACAAACACCAGAATGATTGGTGGACAGGTTAACATTGTGTTTCCCAGGTTGCACCACCCACATGAGGTGACCACAGGATTAGTGGACTAATTGAGCCCTGATTAGTTGTCTGGTACATACAAGATGCCACAAGAAAAACACACTCAAACAAACGTATGGACACTGACATCCTATTGTAAGTATTTTATTTTATTTATATTCTATCTAGCATTTCATGTGGCTTCTATTGTCATAGACTTTCCCCTGAGAACAGTGTTGAAAATGTTCTACTTGTGGGATTAAACAAGTAATATGAATGGAATTTCTTATTACATTTACATTTACGTCATTTAGCAGACGCTCTTATCAAGAGCGAAAACACGACTTTTTCAGTGTACAATGCTGTGTGATTGGATATTTTGTCATGGACTAATACAGTTTTGCATAATTTCTATGATGGGCAATGCATTTAGGCTGTTGCACATTGTTTACATTAAACGGTTGTACACATGGTTATCACGGTTAACTGATAAACCACACTCTGTTGTCTTCAGATTCAACCATATCAATATTTATCATTGCAGTCAGTGACGTGTCTTATTGCAGTCAGTGTTTTATTTTTACTTTAATCTGACAAAGTGCTTAATTTGCACTTTTATGGTCTAAATGTCTGAACTTAAATAGCCTTTTTTGCTACATTGGAATTTGTATAGAGACAAAAAATATCTATTTTATTTTATAAGTAATTCACCTGACACCTGAAACCGTAACAATAAGAAATATGAATATTGAAAATATATACTGTAGGTCAGGGATCATCAACTAGATTCAGCCGCTGACCGATTTTTTTCTTGAGCGGATGGTGGAGGGGCTGGAACATATATTCACTCTGGCAATCTACTCCGATTTCAGAGCACTCTGTCTGACTGTGCCAGAACGCAGAATAACTGATGAATTAACGAATGTGCAACACCTGTTGAATATGACCGGTGTCAGTAAACGTCGGCAAAAAAAAAAACTATTTCATTTGTTGCCAGCAGCACAGTTGCAGTCACCACAACGCTCTGGATATCATGAAAGCAGCCTAACCAGATCTGCTAGGGCGAGTAAAATGGTCAGAATGTGGTGTTCTCTCATTTGTGTCTGTAAGTAGTTTGCAAGCTAGCCAACTTTAGCCAGTTAGCTTGGGTGCTTGACTGCCGTTGTGACAGAACGCTTGGATCAACCCTACTGTGGCTCTGAACGCTCCGAGAGTGAAACGCTCTGAATTTACGAACGGACAATCTGACAGCGCATTCAATCTACGAACGCCCTGAGTGCCCTCTGAGTGCACTCCAGAGTGAATTTATGAACACACCCATAATTACAAATCATTAGCAGACTTCAGATTGACCACAGATATAATATTTGACAAAAAAATAGTAAATTCAAACCTTGTATACAATCACATCTCTCTATTATGCATGGGAATACTTGGGAACAGATTTCCAAAAATAAAATCAATTGGAGCTGATTTCCTTGTGTTTTTAGTCTATTATGTCCAACAACGAACATTCAAAATAAATAAAATAATTACAAAAATAAATAAAAATACATATATATATATATATATATATATATATATATATATATATATATATATATACAGTACCAATCAAAAGTTTGGACACACCTACTCATTCAAAGGTTTTTCTTTATTTTTAATAAATTCCATAGTTTTGATGTCTTCACTATTATTCTACAATGTAAAAAAATGTAAAAATAAAGAAAAACCCTTGAATGAGTAGGTGTGTCCAAACTTTTGACTGGTAGTGTATATATATATATTATTTTCAAATTCGGCCTGCGTGCCGCCAGTTGGGGAACCCTGCTGTAGGTTGAAGTCTTGTTGCTAGCTCATGCTCTACTGACTAGTCTGGGTTTATGCAGCTTATGGAGATTGAGCAGATGCAGAGGGCAGAGAGCTGAGACCTGCTGGATTTATTTAGCACACCTCAGACAGACAGACACTCACACACCTGCTGTTTGTGTAGAACCAGACTGTGGCAGACTACACAGGTCCAAAGATGTGTCAGACAGCTGGTAGGCTACCGTGTCTGAATGTGATCAGACAATCAGACTGTGCCAGCCAGGTCAGCCACATAGTTCCATAACATGTAGATGAGAATATGCAGTTATGCTGTGCATTTTAAAACAATAAAACAAACCCCATTGTGGAAACCGATGGACTAGTTTATGGATAGTTTATGGGGATAGCAAAAGGGATATACAGTAAGCAGGTAATGCACAGACCCAATGAATAGTGTATCCCGAAAGGGATAGGAATGCACTATGGGTACAAACAATGTTACTTAGTTGAACCAGGTACTATAACCCACACTCTTAGAAAAAAAGGGTTCCAAAAGGGTTCTTCGGCTGTCCCCACAGAATAACCCTTTTCCCCCCCAGGGAGAACCCTTTTTGGTTCCATGAAGAACCCCTTTGGGTTCCATGTAGAACCCTCTGTGGAAAGGGTACTACATGGAACCCAAAAGTGTTCTACCTGGAACTAAAATGCTTCTACCTGGAACCAAAAAGGGTTCTTCAAAGGGTTATCCTATGGGAACAGCCGAATAACCATTTTACGTTCTAGACAGCATATTTTTTTCTAAGAGTGCAGTTTATGTAATCACACAAATAATACTAACCTTTGTCAAACAGATTTCAAACAGTAAAGAAATGATCAACTTTTACATTAAGATCTACATGGCTCTGGAGTCTTCTGGACTTTATTGGCCCTGACCCTGATCACCTGACAGTAGCCTCTGTTACCTCAGCTGACTTATATAAGTCTATGGTTTGCACGTCGGCCCTGTGTCATAATGAGCTCTTCTTTCAGGTGGGAACTGAGGAGAAGATGGTGGCCGCAGTGCTCACCTTGCTCTGTTTCACCACAACTGAACATGTTCAACTTGATAACCAACTGCTGCAGCTGGATCTCCAAGCTCCAGCAACCCATCAGGTAAGAACGACTTTCTCTCAAATGGATTAACTCAGTCCCCCAGTCACTTGCGATTACAAATACTGTGACTTAAATTGCTCCATATGCTAATTCCAGCCCCATATCTTGTATTTTCACACAGGAAAGTCAATGTACTGGTGGTCGGTCTTGACAAAGCAGGAAAAACATCCACTGTCAGGGGGATGTTAAGAGGTAATGTAACAGTGACGTCAATACAAAGCAATTAACAGTAACCATGCAGCAGACGTAACACAGAAATCTGCGTATGGCTGACTGAAGTCATCTTATAACTATCCTCGCCGTCTGCAGTGCCCCCAGTGGACGTGGGTCCAACACATGGGTGTGTCCGCACAGAGCTGAGAGTGGAAAACTTCCTGGTCACCCTGCTGGACATCGGTGGGGCCTCGGAGGTGCGGGGGTCCTGGAGGGATCTCTATGGGGAGGTCCATGGGTTCATCTTTGTGGTGGACTCCAGTGACCGGCAGAGGATTAAAGAGGTCAAGGAGCTTCTGACGGACCTGCTGAAGCAGCCTAGAGTGGCGGGAAAACCACTACTGGTGTAAGGACTACTCCTTATATCAAGTTTGAATTAATGTGAATATAATACTTGATCAATAAAAAAAGTAAAAAAGTAAAGTTCTATTTGTTCTATTTATAGTTTATAACTATTTTATACAAGGTTCTATGAGGTGTACAGGACAAAGTGGCAGATGATCTATACTACCTATACCCATTTAAAACCTTAGTGTTGCCATTTACAGTGGGCAAGGAAGGACAGTAGCAAAATTGATTAGTGCTTTCAGTGTAGTGTTTTCCTTTTTTGAATCCACTGAAGAAACTTTGTGCTTTGTTGTTGTGTTTTAGGCTGGCCAACAAGCAGGACAAGATGAACGCCCTGCTGGGAAGTGAGATAATTGAGCTCCTGTCTCTGGAGAGACTGGTGAACCAGAGCCGCTCTCTGTGCCACATTGTGAGTCTAGTTCTCATACACATCACTCTCCACACAACTAGACAGCCAGACAGCCAGACAGACAGACAAACAAACAAACAAACAGACAGACAGAAAGACAGATTATGTTTATTATGTACAAGAGACAGATAGATACATAGACAGACAGAAATCCATGTAGGCTACATAGATTTGATTATGTTGTGCTTTTTCACTCTAGGAGCCTTGCTCAGCCTTAATGGACCTGCGTAGGTGGACAGACAGGAAGACGCTGAGGGGTCTTCGCTGGCTTCTGCGTGCTGTCAATCTGGATTACCCAGAACTCTGTTCTCGCATAATCAGGGACATCAGGGACAGGAGACCTCTAGCACCAGATGGGAGGGACAGGAGTGGGAATATAGAGAGGAGCCGCAGCAAGCCCAAAGAGGAAAGGTAAGAGAGACCATAACTATCCCAATGGGCACAAATTGGTTGAATCAACATTGTTTCAACGTCATTTGTCAATGCATTGTGACGTGGAATCTACGTGGAAAATACATTGGATTTTTTAAAAGTCATCAACGGAAACTGTTGTTTTGAGGGTGAAGTTTCAGATAGACACACCTTGTATATAATATGTTGAATTTGTACCTTTGAAACAATGACAGATCTCGTGAGAATGATTATTGAGAGATCTCTTAATAACTAAATATATTCACTGTTGCTATTGAAGTCATTCCAAAGGGTAGGTTTAACAGAGCAAATGAAACATGTCAACACTTTATCACTCATATATCTTCAATGATACTATTTAGGCCTATATAGCATTTGCAATGTCATCAACAGCTATTGTTGAATTTATTATTAAACAATAGCGCAAAGATTTTATTCATGATCTTTTGTTTTACAATACAAAACATACACATACAAACGATAACATACAGACTCACACAAACATCCACAACATCACCCCTGCCCAGACCCACCTGCTCACACCCCCATCTCCAGTGCCCGTATCACTCTCCGCCACATGGCCTCAGACTGCACCATTTTCTTTCTCTCTGTCGCCCACACACTTTCAACATTTAGATAATAAAGCATTTGACCTTTCCATTTTGTTAACGATGGAGGATTGGTAGAGTTCCAGACAAGTTAACAAATGATATGTTGAATTCACATCTCCAAATAAACAAAAAATAAAAGTTAAAGAATAGGATTAAGTCAGTGGCTCAGATGAAACTATCCAGGCATATTCTTTAAATGTTGATATTTGGTTGCGTTGTCAGCCAAACATAATTCAATAATATTTTTGTAATACAGTAAATAGCCTAAAGTATTGGCTATCTTAGAAACTAATGTAACAGTATTTATAATAATAATAATAATAATAATAAATAAGTAAGTATTTATTCAACCTTAAAATGAGTAACACTTCCATGGCCACATTTTGAGGTTACTGTAACTATAAATGTCTTCTTATGTAATCATAGAAAGCGTGCATGTTCAAGATAGCATGCAAAGGTAGCAGGTCTGTGGAGATCTTCACAATTGCTGTAAAAATCTGCGCAGAATCTTGAACAGCATTGATCACTTGCACTATGTACTTTTAATGTAATCTCAACTGCAATCCAGGTCATTTGGTTCTGCTATTAGATCAAGCACAGTGATAACCCATTAAGTTGTTGTATAAATACAAAATGTCTGACATTGTATTCCCATTTGAACTTTGTTGTGCTTTCAAATGGTTGAAAGCACAGTGATAATACATTTAGATGACAACTAAACCAAAAATGAGAATGTGGTTTTAGATGGTTGAAGGCATACATTGGGAATTCAACAAACTTCTGGATGTCTATTTTAGTCGGTGAATGAAGGTTGAACTCTCATTGATCAACTTCTCAACCAATTATTACCCACATTTCCACGTTGAAATGACATGGTGTGCCCAGTGGGATGTGCCTTCAGTTAGACTCCCAGAATATAATCTGTCTTGGCCAATGTGTTGATATTGCATTCACAGAATATGTATCCATGAACTATTTCAAAGACATGGCCTAACTATGTTAGCTAAAGCATCATGGCATGGACCGTTTCTCATGTGAAATGTCTCTGTGTAGAATCCGTGCCAGCAAAAATGACCTTCGTAAAGTACAACGCCCTCAAGAAAAGGACCAAAGACCCAAAACTCCCTCACTACAACCCATTCGAAACATCTTGAAAAAGGTAAAGAAATTGACATTTACAAATCCACTGATAATCGTTAGTTGTAGATCCATTTGATCTTGATAAGATTCCAATTGATTATTTGTAGTAAAGCAGTCTACTAGTTTTAGTACATCTGGAGATGTACATTCATTTTCATTGCTGGAATATGTGAACTGAAAAGCCTTATGTATTGTAGGAGAGCACTCTGAAAAAGAGGCTAAATAAAAAGAAGAAAAAACAGGTGAAGATTAAGGACACAGAAGAGAAAAGTGAAGGAAGAGAGAATGCGGAGGAGGAGGAGGGGGAGGAAGGTAGCACAGAGGCGGACCCGGAACACAGTGTGCAGAAAGAGAAGTCCAACAGTCCCCTAATACCTCCGAAACGAAGGAAGCTGAAACGTAAAGCCAAAGTGAAGGAAGAGACCCAAGATCTCCCAGAATCAGTTGACAATGAAGACAAAGACAAATCAAATAAAGGTAGCTATGCTCCTCAAACAATACAACACTCTGTCTCCAATGTCTTGGCGTATGCTTTATGATTTATTAACAGGTTACAACATGTTATTAGTACTTTTGAATATTGAAATGTGTATCTGAGTTGATAACATTCACATTTCCTCATCTGTTGATAAAGGGGACAAGAAGAAGAAGAAAAAAGTGGTGAAAGTGAAAAAGAACAGGATAAACTCTGAGGAGGTGCCAGGAGCATACTCCCAGACAGTTGACCTCTCCGCGACCTTTGGTGAGCCCCCAGTCTCTCCTTCATAACTCGCACTGAAATGCAACGGCAAAATGAGACGGTCTGAGGCTCAAAGCCCATTTTAAACAAGATATGTGATTTCCCTGTTTCTTGATAGATCTTTACCGAAAAGCCATTTTGGCTCTGAAAGAGCGGCAGGATCAGGGCCAGTGAGAGGAGAGGGCTGAGAGGGGGAGAGAGAGAGAGAGAGAGTCCTGGGTCCAGTGTGTGACAACGCAGTCTGCTATCCTGGCAAGGGCAGCACTCCAGTGATTTATGAACACGTTGAGACACCTTAGTGACTCACCCTCAGCCTCTTCCCTGCCACCCACCCACCCAGACAGCTACCGGACTGACAGACTGATTGACAGAGGGAGACCTGCCCTGCCTGCAACCCCTCCACAACCTCCTTTTCCATTCTATTACCACACATTTCAAATTTACGGATTACAACTGGAGTTTTCAACGGCATTTGAAGGACAATTTCGAAAGACTTGATGGACGTTTTTCTTAGCTGCCACTGTGTAGGAACTGCAAAGCCAATGCACCCCCAGAGAAATGTGTTTTTATTTTATCTTACCAAAATATGTTATATGAAAGATTGACAATATTTATTTATTAGTGGTTATTTAATTATCTGCAGTAAAAGTAAACAATTGTTTATAAACATGATCAATGCACTTACTCTGCCAGAATATTTGAATCCCAACTCCTAAATATGAATAGAATTTATCTGTTTATATTGTAATTTCGATGGAAAGGGAGACATGCTTTTGTAATGTTTGTTTGCTTTTTACATGACTCACAGAACCAATTTTTCAACAACATAAAATGGTCAGTGAAAGGAAAATAGAATTTTAAGAGAACACCACCACCAGGTCAATTTGAAGAAAGAACAAATACAAAACTGAACTGTACAATAAACAATCACGTGCTTCCTTTACAATTTACCATATGCCTTGAAGTGTTCTAACTGTGCTTCACCTTGAAGATGATAATGCTATGTTGCTTCACCCAGATTGCCCCCTGCAGTTCAAACAATATGTCAAGCGCCAAACTAATGGTCAGCCATATGTAACCATGTTTCCTATTTAATTCGGCTATTAGCTATTATTTATTTATGCTGGAAAAGAAACTCTGATAAAAAAAAAAATATTGTTGGACTATGTTCAAATAATATCCATTCGTAAAATATTCGCCTATATTTTTGTAATGATATTACATATAAGATGATAATAGTGTTTGGTATGGGCCCCATAAATGACTGTAAGTCGCTTTGGATAAAAGCGTCTGCTAAATGGCATATTATTATTATTATTATATAATTGGGCATTTGCACCCTGGACCCTGTATACAAATTTCCTTTCGCCATTTTTTGTCGCGCTTCTAGAAGCCCACCCCCCTCAGCATCTTCACAGGAGAGAATACAGCCAGTTGTTTCAGTGAATAGGCCTACATTAAATAGCCGCCGCGCCGAGACACAGTTTGGTGGCGGTACTGGGACACACAACACCGAAGATGGCTTCACCGAGGACGATAACAATTGTGGCCCTCTCGTTCGCTCTTGGCATTTTTTTCGTCTTCATGGGCACCATAAAGCTCACACCAAGATTGAGCAAAGATGCTTACAGTGAGATGGTAAGTAAACCTTTAGCGACAAACCGCATCTGCAGCTGGAAGCGAAAGCCATTGTTCTGGCTATGGACGCACTCAGGCTCTAATGTGCTGTGCGCGGCTGACCCCCATTCGGATCATTAAATAAAATAGCCAATAATATCTAACTGATACATACGATTTGATTGTAGGTTTTGTTTCAATCGTGGGAATTTATTTAAGCAAGCAAGAACATGATGGTACCTGCTGCATTTTTATATAGCCTATAATAGGCTAAATTATTTATTGAAGTCTGACGATAGAAAAACATGACTTTTGTGACAGAAAATAAAATATTACCTCTAGGCATTTCAGATAAGCCCACATAATAGAAATCGAATGCATTGGCTACAGGCCAAAGTAAATAGGCCTGTTTGTTTGAAATAAGAGAAAATTGATATAGGCTAACAGTAGCCCACACATTTGTTCAGTAGTGTTTTATGGCAAATTATTTGTTATTATTAGCCTAATATGCCTTAAAACGGTATTTGAAGGTACATTTTAGCCTAGGCAATGGCAGCGCATGCGAACAAATTCTGGTGTGCACTAGCGGACTAGTCGATTAAACTCTTTATGATGGAGTTGAGCAGCGACTAGTGTGGGCGGTCTGGAGCTCCGACATCAATACATTTTTCTGTGAAATTGCAAGCTATTCTTTGAGTGCTGAAATCAGTAGATTTTTGTTAAAAACTGCCTTTTATGTGATGTCGGAGCTCCAGTCCGCCCACCCTAGCCCCCACTCATCTCCATTGCAAATCGTGGAGTTGAGTTTAATCAGCTAGGGGTGGACCTGCGAGTGTGGGGCTGATGTTGAGCCTCTCCTTACCAGTGGCGTTAATGCTCATCTGTGCTCTGCTCGTCATTCATGTATGTTCTAATGTAATTTTTATTCCTTATCAGCGGAGCCTTGTCCTGCAGCGAAACAGTTAATTCAGCCTCATTTACTGCCTTTAAAAAAAACATGGTTGACTTGCTTAAACAAATGTGGTTTCTACTGACAATTGAGATGTACACACTATGGCATAAGTGGACCACGAGCGGATAAGAGGCAATCCGTAATTTCGATTAAGACATTAATGAGTGAGCTAGGACGGACGTAGTCAATATAACTATTTGTTCAGCACTTTTGAAATGTACAGCGACAGAATTCAGAACATGGGCCGTTCTTACAGTATTCTCCCTGGACACCAAGTCAGAACCGTAGGATAAATAAATAAAGGGGGCATATAAGCAGACAATGAAAGCTCTTACAATATTCAATGATTACATTTATCTAAAACAGGCTATAGGCTACATGTGCACCACCAAGTCAGAACAGTAGGCTAAATTATGAGGGGCAAAGGAACCAAATGATTAGGGTGAGGCACATGGGCTACTAACAGCTTACTACACAACATACATTTAGTATTACTTTCTTAGCTACAGTATACATATCTCCCTGGCATATTGCATCATTTATGCAGCAGCATACAATAAATGTTTGTATGCTGCACTCACTTGAACCTTGAACAGGAAGGTGGAGCAGCGGTCCTTCGTGGGCAAATTTTGTCATCAAACTTTGTCATCAAAGTCTGCCATTCTCTGGATTTATGGTGCTTTCAAGACAACTGGAAACTCTGAAAAAACAAGGTTGAATCATGACGTCAGTGATCTTCAGGTCGGCGCTCTAGAAAGAGGCCTGAGTTCCCGACTTGGAATTCCGAGTTGGATGACCGTTCAAAATGTATTTTCCCAGTCGGAGCTCACTGAAGTCTGAGATTTCCCAGTTCCGAGTTTCCAGTTGTTTTGAACACGGCAGAAGTCATGCTGGATTGACAACATGGCCAATTTATCCAACCTTTTATGGCCCATGGTGTTGAATATTTATCCTTTTAAGCTTGGAAAAGAGACCCTTAAACCCAGACTTGGACCACACACCCACTCCACTGAATAGCAGGCTAGTGATTGCTTTGCAACGCTTGCAGTTAGCCACTGATTCCTTCCAAACCACTCATTGTTGAATTTGCGATTTCAAACTTATTGTGTAATGTTAATGTCCAATGGCCGATGAGTTTAATCTATAATTCATTTTCATAATTTCTCTTCATATGACAAGGATTGAAAAGGATTTGCCAGTAGATTGCCGACTTGATTCATGATGATGACTGCTAGCTTGCTAGCTAAGATTTTTAAAGTATGATGTTGACATGATCAGTCCAATCAAAGCTATGGTAGATATAACGTGATTTGTTGTCATTTTATCTGTGGCCAATGACCTTGAGCCTTCTTGGATGGGCACTTCTAATGTAACTCTATGGCAGCACCCAAGGGGCTTGAATTTTCTAGCTCTACCCATAGACTTTGCGGGGATGTAGTGTCCACATGAGTGACAGAACACTGAGCCAATCACGGCGCAACTAGAGAACATTACCAACCCCTACGCTCTGTAGTTTCCGCTGGCTGCCCCACCACCACAGAAAGCACTGAGCTAGGCTGAAACACCTACATTTTGGAGCTGCCTTACTCAAGAAATAAAAAAAGAGACCATGTTTGTATGCGGCTTTATTAATTCAAAGATGCCAAAATAACATGCAAAACATATATTTGTTAGTTAAACAGCTCTGCCTCACCTACCCTGAATGACGGGTCGCCACTGGTCAGTGTCATGATTGTAGATAAACTGGTAGGCCTAGACATGGCGCTATTGGCTCCAAATGTATCGTCTCACTCCAACTTTTGATGTAGAATTGAAACTTCCTTAAAGGTTCTACAAATCTGAGAAATTATATACTGTAGCCTGTAGTATACCACTAATAATGAATAAGTTCTCTCTTTGATATCAATGCAAATGAATGCTGAAATGTTCTCTCTCATGTTTTTTTAGAAAAGGGCATACAAAAGCTACGCAAAGGCCTTGCCAGGTCTAAAGAAGATGGGCATCAGTTCGGTGCTGCTCCGTAAGATCATTGGCTCACTGGAGGTGGGCTGTGGTGTGGTTCTGACGTTGGTGCCAGGGAGACCCAAGGATGTGGCTAACTTCCTGCTCTTGCTGGTCATGCTGGCGGTCCTCTTCTTCCACCAGCTAGTAGGAGACCCCCTGAAACGATACGCTCATGCTCTGGTTTTTGGTATTCTGCTCACCTGCCGACTGCTCATTGCCCGGCAGAGTGAGGACCGGCCCGAGAGGGAGGAGAGCAGGGAAGAACACATAAATGTCCAGGAAAAGAACAAAGTCAAAAAGTCCTAATCCAGCCTGATCGTCTGGTCTGGGCAGAGCGACAGCAACTCTGGTCTGGGCAGAGCGACAGCAAAATGGAACCTTGTGCGTTTCTTTGGATTGTAGCAATTCTGATTAAAAAGAAACACAGTCGCCACAATGAGTGATATACCCACCCAGTCACACACCTATCCCTTCCCCCACTCTTTTGGTTGACTGGTTATTGGTTTCATCCGCTCCCCTGCACTCATCCTAAAACTGAAATCCGCTTGTCCTGTATCCCAACCTTGACAGTGGACAATCATACTTGTGGCAACAGTAATGAGCTCAGCTCTTTTGAAAAATATACTGTATAGGACCTTTGACCTCTGTCCTTTTCCTTGTTTCCCCCCCATTCTTATGTTGCATCTATCAAACCATAAGATGCCAAAAGTTCAATGTTTTTTATGTTTGTTTTTGACACAAATACTAATTTGATTGACTTTGTTGGCTTTGAGAATGCTGTTGTTTTCCGCTATTGAAGATTGGTACTTTTCAATTTTTTACATTTTAGGTGGGAAGCTAATGATATCCCTTGAATTCAATTGTTATTTTACAACAATTAAGCATGGTTCATATTAAATGGTTTAAAACAAACTAATATCCTATCAACACTGTTCAAATATATATTGTTGTTGAACATTGACTCACATTTATTTAAATATAAGTATCACATATTTCCATTGTTATTAGTAAAATAAGAATAATTTTTGTGAATTCAGATTAGTTTCGTTCAAGCTTTTTCCTGTTGACTCGATTTTCTTGTAACTATTCCTATGCATGAAAATGTACCCCTTTTCCCCAAAGAAAAACGGAACGGTCAAATGACAAGTCTTTCGCTCATCACAAATTGATTATTCACTTTGTTGGACCCAACACTGTTGTTCAAGGACTCATATGGAGGAGAGACCTTTAGGAGGCATTTTGCTAGCAATTATGTACATACAGTGCCTTGCAAAAGTATTCATCCCCCTTGGCGTTTTTCCTATTTTGTTGCATTACAACCTGTAATTTAAATGGATTTTTATTTGGATTTCATGTAATGGACATACACAAAATAGTCCAAATTGGTGAAGTGAAATGAAAAAAATAACTTGTTTCAAAAAAGTATACAAAATAAAAGTAAAAAGAAGTACAGATTAGGGTTGGGTTATAAAAACATATCTGAAACTTTGAACATCCCACGGAGCACCATTAAATCCATTATTAAAAAATGGAAAGAAAATATGCACAACAACAAACCTGCCAAGAGAGGGCCGCCCACCAAAACTCACGGACCAGGCAAGGAGGGCATTAATCAGAGAGGCAACAAAGAGACCAAAGATAACCTTGAAGGAGCTGCAAAGCTCCACAGCGGAGTTTGGAGTATCTGTCCATAGGACCCCTTTAAGCCATACAATCCACAGAGCTGGGCTTTACGGAAGAGTGGCCAGAAAAAAGCCATTGCTTAATGAAAAAAATAAGCAAACACGTTTGGTGTTCGCCAAAAGGCATGTGGGAGACTCCCCAAACATATGGAAGAAGGTACTCTGGTCAGATGAGACTAAAATTGAGCTTTTTGGCCATCAAGGAAAACGCTATGTTTGGCGCAAACCCAACACCTCTCATCACCCCGAGAACACCATCCCCACAGTGAAGCATGGTGGTGGCATCATGCTGTGGGGATGTTTTTCATCGGCAGGGACTGGGAAACTGGTCAGAATTGAAGGAATGATGGATGGCGCTAAATACAGGGAAATTCTTGAGGGAAACCTGTTTCAGTCTTCCAGAGATTTGAGACTGGGACGGAGGTTCACCTTCCAGCAGGACAATGACCCTAAGCATACTGCTAAAGCAACACTTGAGTGGTTTAAGGGGAAACATTTAAATGTCTTGGAATGGCCTAGTCAAAGCCCAGACCTCAATCCAATTGAGAATCTGTGGTATGACTTAAAGATTGCTGTACACCAGTGGAACCCATCCAACTTGAAGGAGCTGGAGCAGTTTTGCCTTGAAGAATGGGCAAAAATCCCAGTAGCTAGATATGCCAAGCTAATAGAGACATACCCCAAGAGACTTGCAGCTGTAATTGCTGCAAAAGGTGGCTCTACAAAGTATTGACTTTGGGGCGTGAATAGTTATGCATGCTCAAGTGTTCTGTTTTTTTGTCTTATTTCTTGTTTGTTTTACAATAAAACATATTTTGCATCTTCAAAGTGGTAGGCATGTTGTGAAAATCAATTTTAATTCTAGGTTGTAAGGCAACAAAATAGGAAAAATGCCAAGGGGGGTGAATACTTTCACAAACCACTGTACATAATATGTCTATGGTTGCTAGCCTAGTGCTGTCTCTATGTCTCTGGAACACAATCAATAGTCCAGCTGCTTTGTCAAATGCTTTGTCAAATGACATATCCAATAAAGGACTTGATATTTGTCTCTTAATAAAGTTATGTCTCTCTTTACATCCAATGACAACAAAGGCTTATGTTTATCTGTGAATCTATTTTGCTCTGGGATTTTTAACAGTATTCTGTTGAATTACTATGTTAGATAAGTATTTGTATGAGTATTACCATTACCATTACCACTGGATTCTTCTTGTAATATAAATCCAATTTGATTAATATATAAGTGATGCTATCTTCAGTAATGATGAGTAGATAATGGGAAAGTTTCAGTCAGATGAGCAGTTGTTCAGTTGATCGTTAACATTCACAATGCTTCTGTAAAACAAAATGAGCTAAATAAAGAAATGTACAAGCGAGATCTCCAAGCTATGTGTTTATTGTGTATCTTTTTATTCAATTCAAATCAGCAGTTATTTACAAAACATTCCAAACATAAAGTGTGTAAAAAGAAGAATGAACGCTTGGATTTACATTCAGTTTATTGCAAATTTAGAGTAGCCTACCTGAACTTGGATCCTTCAGGTGAATGAGCCTACTACACACAATGATGTATATAAATCATTACCTACACATCATCAATTTATGCATGTAGGAAGGAAGGCAAACTGGCGATGGCTCGAGTTTGAAGTGGAGGGAGTATAGGGCTCCTTCTCTGGAGGAGGCAAAAAATAGATTCTGGCTTGGAAAAGTTTAATATTTTCAGAAGGAGACGGGTTATTGGTTAAGGGAGGAGGATTGAAGCGAAAGAGAGAGGAAGTTGAAAAGACTGAGGGAGGCAGAGGATGGGTTTGAATCTGTTGAAGCTAGCAATAACAAAGGAGAGGGTATGTCGAGGAAGATTGGTGTCAAGTTCAAACAGAGTGAGCCGGTCGCCAGTTCGAGTTCTGGAGGTGAAATGGAAGGGGTAGAACGTGTTGTGAGGAACTCAGAGCCCGAGCCTTGCATTGATGGACATGGTTATGATAAAGATACGTTTGGTCCAGTAGGAGTGACATTTTTGGAGAAAGTGGATCCTTGCCTTTTGGCGGATCCATTTGTGGTTTCAGGGTGGGTGGGAAAGGAGTTGGGTGCAGTTGAATCAGTGACGGTAACCTGTAGTGGACTTGTGATACTTGTTTGTGTTTCTTCTGACCAGAGGGAGCGGGTGCTCCGTGTCACGCAACTTGGGTCAAGATCTGTTTCTTGCTTTGCTCTTAGGACAGGGCACCATTGAAAGGAGTGATTTCTGTGGCAGCGTTAAGTGTGGAGGTGGAGCAATTGAAGTTGAAGATTCCTGGTGTTTGTGACGCCCGCCATTTGGTGCGACGCAGACCAAGCAGTGAGCGTAGGGAAACAGAGGAGTCACTATCAGTCCTTCTGAGCTTTGAGTCAGAGTCTTTACCTGACAAGGTCATGTTAGGATATATCAGTTATCTTGTTAGAGCGTTTGTGGCGAATCCACTGCGCTATTTCAGGTGCAATGTTTATGTTCATGTCGCAGAAGTGTGTACGAGGGAGATTCCAAGATGTGGAAAGTGTGCAGGATCGCAAGGGATAGAGGATTGTGTAGTTTTGGTGGATAAAGTTGTGTGTGTCAACTGTAGGGGTGCACATGTTTCTGAGGATCGGAACTGTCCGGTGAAAGAGATGCAGGTTGAGGTGGCTAGAGTCAGAGTAGTGCAGAAGGTGTCGTATACTGAGGCAGTGAAGAAAGTAGAGGAGGATGGGTCAAGGGTGAGGTATTCTGAGAGAATCCCTGTGAATAGTAGATCTGTGCCAGCTCAGAGGGATAGGCCAATGAGTGATATGTACTGTACTTCAGTAAGGTTGGCTTCTTAGCGTTCATAGCAATGGTTATCAACTGCACCGCAGAAATGGAAAGTAAATCACAGAAAATAGATGTTGTGGTGGCAGCTGCAGAGAAGTACTTGGGGGTACGAGATTTGACTTCAGAAGAGTTACAGCGTATGTAGAGTGGTTGTGTCCTGTCCTCTCATGTGTTGGCCTGGGGTAGGATCAGATAGGGTTAAAGTAGTGGAATAAGGTGATGGGTTATAATGAGTATAGGGTTCGTTGGTAGGGTAATTCAAGTATATGTATATTTTAATGTTGTACTTTTTCACGGTTCCCCTTTCCCATTTTGTATCACGAAGTGTAATGAATCTATACTATAGTTCAGTTGGTGGCGGTAATGCAACATATTGGATGCCAACCGCCGTTAAACCTCACCGAAGAAGAAGATCCGTTTATGTAGTCCTGCTGAGAGTGCGCTGGACTACAATGCCCAGTGAACAAATGCGCAAGACGCTTTGCAGAAGTAGTTAGTGCGCCTGCGTAGAACAAACGGTCGCGCGCAAGATTTCAGTTTTGTTTGAATGACTTCGAGCCTGAGGAAAAGACAATAAGTGGATTTTTAGCTATGTAGCTAGCAATGGCAAAAGCTTCCAACCTGACGAGGACAGAGTTGGACTCATCATTTGAAAGCAATTTGTCAGTTTCTAGCCGAACTTCTAACAGAAGTTTGCGAGTGGCAGAGAAAGAAAGAAGAAAGAACCAGACTGGGGATCCATTTGTACTTGCGCTGAAGTACTTCTCAGAAGGTAGCTAGGGGAGCTAACGTTAGCTAGCCAGCGAGTATACTATTGCTTGCAGAAGGCAAGCGTAGCTAACGTTAATGTTGTAGCTGACGTTACCTTTTAACCAAAGTGAACTAGTTATCTGACCGTATGGCAGCCCAGCTTCTTGCTATGTCAACTTGCCAGACCCCGCCAAGACTTCTTGTTTTGGAAACACCCGTTTACTTATCTTTGGGACATAACATAGGAACAACCAATACATAGACTGCCGATGTTGTGTTCCAAAGTTACCTTTTACTGTAACTTATTTAGCTAACGTTAGTTAGCTAATGCATAACCAGTGTGGGTGGGGTATAGCTAGACTGAACAAGGAAAGGAAGGTATGGCGTATGCACAATTTGCTAGTCATCATTTCGTTACAAGTACAACAATTGCATATAACTAATTTATTATTCAACATATGTATTTATGTATTTAATGCTAACGTTAATCACACATAAACATTAAGAGGATAGCTAGCTAGCTAAGGTTACATGTAACGTACAAAATATATATAATCGTGATTGGAAATTTTACAGCTGGATGTTAGCTACTAACATTGTTTGTTATGAATTAAGTGCATTGGAATTGAATAGCTAGCTAGCTACAGTAACTAAAGTGCATCCAGTCACAGAATGTCCATGATTTCAGATGAGTTGTTTATTTTTTTCCTAGTGGAGGCAGGTACACAATGCTTCGGGAACGATGTGTTGGAGAGGAACCTGGTGCTGGTGGAGAGAGTGGGGCTCAGTCGAGGACTCCCTCCTGAAGCCATCTCTGTCATGCTGGACTATGCTATGAGCTTGCGTATGGGTACGAACAACCAGCAGCCACTGCAGCTACAGACTGACCTGAAATATAGATTTACACTGATGAATTAATTTGACCATACATAACATTTCAGCGCTTTGCTCTTTCTCTTGCCCTGAACAGGAGGTGTGACGTGTGTTCGGGTCCTGAAGTTTCTAATCCCAGCAACCGTGGTGCCACAGGAGGCCGTTGTTCAAGCAGTGGCGTGGTTATGTGTCGGCAAGATAGCCATCAGCACACAGGTAAAGAGCTCCTCTGTCTCAAAGGTCTGTAAGTCACACTCACAGATTTAAAGGTTGACACTGAAGACTGACCATAACATTACAATACTAGTGTCATCAGAATTGCTCTGTGTCCTCTTTCCCTTTACGAGCTTGAAACTGGTGTTATGGGTGTTTTCCAGGTTATTTTCCTTCGGTGGGTGCTAACTGTTTTTGACATGATTGACTCCAAGGACCATCTTCGAGCCATCTATGGCTTCATCTTCAGCTTTGTGACTGAAGAGAATTTGGTATGTGCAGGAGTCGTATTCCCCCTTGCTCTGATGATATCAATGAATGTCTTGAGTTTTTACATTGGCATTAGATTGCATTGCTATTTAAATAATGATGGATTTGTTTTGTGTTTCAGTCTCCTTACATCTGCCATTTGCTCTACCTTTTGACAAGGAGGGAAAGTGGTATGTGACATCTTGTTACTCAATGAACCATTACCATAAGGTACAAATTGTTCCTGCAGCACATCACTCTTAGTTTTTTCTTGTGTTTTTCTTCTGTCATAGTTCGGCCATTCAGAGTCAGAAAACTGTTGGACCTCCAAACAAAAATGGTACAACAAATGTTTTTTGTTGTTTTTTAAGATGTTGTCAACTTAATACAAGTGAATGCATGGGAGACTTCTAACAATTGTATTACCATTATGAAATACTTTGTGATAAATGGCAGGGGGAGAAAATACTTGCATATTGTTTGTACCTCTCTCTACATAATTCTCAAAAATAGTTAATCCTCAGTACCATTATCAGTAGTTGCACTCTGTGAATGATTGCTACATCCATCAAACTGAGAGTGCAGTCCCTGTGGTGAGCATGTTGCACTGAGAGTTTCATTAATTTCCTCTCATCTTCTGTCTCCCCAGGGAAGGCAGCCGTTCCTGTTGCACTTGCTGTCATTGTACAAGGTGTTTTGCCCCGAGTTGGTGACGCTTGCTCTTCCATCACGAATGAGGGTTAGTACACGGATCACACCTAGTGATCTCTTTCCATTGCAAAAAACACACTTTATCGTTCACCAAACATCAGGGTTGGGGTCGATTTCATCCATATCCGATCTGGATGTAAATTGAAATTCCAATCCAACTCTCTTCATTGAAACCCTGAAAAACATACGTAATGTCAACGTGTATCTTTTCGGCTGTCGTTCAGAGTGGGTTTAAGAACCACAATTCCACGTGGAAGGCGGCGCTCAGTGCTGTCCAGAAGAGGAACAACGGCCAGGTGTCCTCTGACATCAGCCTGACCCTCGGGCTCAAAGACAAGACCAACTCCAGAAAGAGGGTAAGGCCATGAGCTATGGCACACCATTGACAGTTGACCTTAAACACCGTCTTTATAAAGTGTCCTAGTGCTAATGTATAGCGGTACCTTTTTTTTGCCTTTACATTTTTAAAATCATTAGGGGTCAGGACATTTTGCCCTCCATAGACCATGAGATTCATTTAGTCAAAGGCCCTCCTTGCTTTTTGGATCTATCTGGAAATAGACACTTTATGTGGCACTGTCATAACCTAATGAACTGTTTTCAATATATTGACATTCCTATCAGAAATTTCATCACCTGGAGTTACCATCGCTGAGCTCGTCTGTCCAGAGTAACTCCTCCTCCAGCAGAAGCAGGAAGGTCTTCCCCCTGGAGCAGCTCCACTCCTTTCCACAGCTGCTGGACAACCTCCACTGCATAGAGGTAACTCTCTCCTTCTCTCGGTCTCTCTCTGTCTGTCTCTCTTTCTCACTGTCTTTCTATCTAAGTCGGTCTCCCTGTCCCTCTCTTCGATCTCTTTTTATCACACACACACACACACACACACACACACACACAAGCCTGATTAGTCACACAGTGATATGGCCATGAGGTACCTTGTTTTTGCTACAGTTAAATATGGCAGTATTATTTTTGGATGATATTATATCGATATTCGACTCCAAGTATCGATTTGTAAAAAAAATAAATATATATATTAGTTTTTGCTATTGTAGGTAGCGTTAGCTAGCTCTAGTTGGCTGTACCTGCGCCTAAACTTCATAATTTTTCATCCTATAACCTGTTCTCACGCTTTTTAAATAGTGAACCAACATGTTTTCAGCACTTTTATTTCCCTGACTGGTCAAAACTTGTTTTCTCATGCTCTCTCTTGTCTCTCTGTATAGTGTGTTTGGAAAATAAAATCGCAAATAAAAACGCAATATCGAATCGCAATACATATATAATCGTGAAAATCGCAGTACATGCATGTCGGCACCTAAGTATCGTGAGGTCCCTGGCAATTCCCAGGCCTAGCTATAGTGCGTAATCGCATGCTACAGCTGGACAAAATATAATGTTGTTGAAACCCTGGAGAGGCTGAGTGCACATTTTTTCTTTCTTCTAATATTCCTTTCTAGTGGAGCTTCAGCATGAAACAGGTTTGTGTGTGGCAAGCACATGATGGAGCAAAGTGACAGTCAACTGATGAGGAACGGGGCTGTCTTTTCGTAGTGAGTTAGGTTATAAATCATGGGCTGGATAGAAGCAAAGCCTACTGTCTTCAGAACTGGATAATAATTGCTTTATTTGCCTCATCCTCCTCTCTTAATATTGTATGTTCAGTCTCTCATAAAGCTGTGATTGAGAACAGCCTAGGCCTATAGACTTCGACTCGTTCTTGTTCTTTTTGAAAGGGCGACTTTACGATGCCTTAGGTTATTGGAATATAACTTTAACTTGTCTTAAAGCTTTTATGATAGGCCTAGTAGGAAATTGGCCATTTGGTTTTCAACCTCGCATGGAGTGATTTTTACTCCCTGCACAGATGATCTATTTCTTAATAAGCTTAAACTTGATTAAACGTGTCATTTAAAAAAAGATAGGCTGTTGATATGGTTTCTTCTCTCATTATTAGTCCCCTGGCTACCTTAGGTTTTTAGGCTATTCAAACAACTTTCTTAGATGGAAGTCCATTAGATTGATTTATTGTTTGATCAGGAGAAAGCCATGCATGCATAAAACGATGAAAGGTTAGCCTACCAGTAGCCCAAAGTCATATTCATATCGAATGGAGAGAGAAGGGAATATAGCCTCATTTTTTTTAAACAGCTAGACACAATGTAGTTAAGTAGTGTCCGTTATATACAGTGCCTTCAGAAAGTATTCACACCCTTTGACTTTTTCCATATTTTGTTCTTACAGCCTGAATTTAAAATGGATTACATTTTGATTTAGTCACTGATCTACACACACTACCCCATAATATCAAAGTGGAATTCTGTTTTTAGACATTTATTTAAAAAAATTTTTTTAACCTGAAATGTCTTGTGTCAATAAGTATTCAACCCCTTTGTTATGACAAGCCTAAATAACTTCAGGAGTAAACATTTGCTTAACAAGTCAGATAATAAATTGCATGGACTATGGTGTTTATTAACATGATTTTGTTTTTATGACTACCCCATCTCTACCAAGCACAGATTCAATGACAAAGACCAGGGAGGTTTTCCAATGCCTCGCAAAGACGGGCACCTATTGGTAGATGGGTAAAACAAACAAAAAAGCAGATATTGAATATCCTTTTGAGCATTGTGAGGTTATTAATTAGATGGTGTATTAATACACCCAGTCACTACAAAGATACAGGTGTCCTTCCTAACTCAGTTGACCGAGAGGAAGGAAACCACTCAAGGATTTAACCATGAGGCCAATGGTGACTTTAAAACAGTTAGAGTTTAATGGCTGTGATAGGACAAAACTGAGGATGGATCAACAACATTGTAGTTACTCCACAATACTAACCTAAAAGACAGAATAAAAAATATTCCAAAACATGCATCCTGTTTGCAATAAGGCACTACAGTAATACTGCAAACAATGTGGCAAAGAAATTAACGTTTTGTCCTGAATACATTTACATTTTAGTCATTTTGCAGACGCTCTTATCCAGAGTGACTTACAGTTAGTGAGTGCATACATTTTCATACTGGCCCCCCGTGGGAAACGAACCCACAACCTTGGCGTTGCAAGCGCCATGCTCTACCAACTGAGCTACAGGGAACTACATTTTTAAATTTTAGTCATTTAGCAGACGCTCTTATCCAGAGCGACTTACAGTTAGTGAGTGCATACATTTTTCATACTACAAAGCGTTATGTTTGGGGCAAATCCAACACAACACATCACTGAGTACCACTCTAAATATTTTCAAGCATGGTGGTGGCTGCATCATGTTATGGGTATGCTTGTCATCGGCAAGGGAGTTTTTTTTGTTGGGATAATAAGAAAAGGAATAGAGCTAAGCACAGGCAAAGTCCTAGAAGAAAACCTGGTTCAGTCTTTTTCTCCAACAGACACTGGGAGACAAATCCACCTTTTAAGCAGGACAATAACCTAAAACGCAATGCCAATTCTACACTGGAGTTACTTACCAAGACGCCATTGAATGTTCCTTAGTGGCCTACTTAACGTTTTGACTTCAATCAGCTTGGAAATCTCTGGCAAGACTTGAAAATGTCTGTCTAGCAATGATCAACAACCAACTTGACAGAGTATGAAGAATTTTGAAAAGATTAATAGGCAAATGTTGCCCATTCCAGGTTTGCAAAGCTCTTAGAGACTAACATGTATAGATTCAGGGGGTTGAATGCTTATCTAATCAAAATATATTAGTGTTTTATTTTCCATTAATAAGAAAAAAATAAATTTTCTTCAATTTGTCAGAGTATTTTGTGTAGATCGTTGTCAAAACATGGCAATTAAATCAATTTTAATTCTACTTTGTAACACAACAAAATGTGGAAAAAGTCAAGGGGTGTGAATACTTTCTGAAGGCACTGTATATAACTTTTTTTTATAGGTTTAGGCTATAAGGCCCATGCATCCAACGGGGAGAGCAAGCGAGAAACAATATTCTGACTGGACATTTTGAGCCGCTTTGGTGGAATTCTCCGCTCTGTCTAGCCTACATTCCTCTCTTGTATTCTGTATATAACATATTTATTGAAATAGGCTATAGCAAATAGGAATAGGCTAATTACCCGACTCCGTTCTTTACTGCGCAGCGCCAGTCAAGTTCAAATAGGCTAAACCATCATCTGTCACATCACAATGTCGTCACCATCGGCAATGGTTGTCAATCATTGTTGATGGACGACACTATCGTAATATCGCCCCACCCTACTGTTTTTCCAAGCCGTAAAAATCAGTTCTTGAAGGTGCCCAGCACTGCCCGTTTCACTTGTAATGTCTTTTTGGGGCCACATGAGGGAGCTATGTCACCAGCACAATTTTGGTTGTATCAAAACAGAACAACTGCTCAACCTTGTCTCCCGCTCAATATGTTGGCTAGCATTGTCAGTGTAATTTGTTTGTTATTACCCAGAGCCATAAAACAGATTCATGAGCTCTCTCCATGTCGTTTGTTTTCTAAATTTGTCATTGCTCTGTTAAAATACTTTATCATGGTTCGTTTGTCCTGACAAGTTATTAATTAACTGGCCAACAGAGATGTATCACCGGGAGCCACATTGAAAATGTTATAAAGTGTTGACAATTACAAAATGGCCGCTCGCAAATACTGTTTGCTTGTCAGATCAAAACAGATACAGTGCTGTGAAAGTATTTGCCCCCTTTCTAATTTTCTTAACATTCTGTATCAAATATGCAAATGTAATCTGATCTTCAACCAAAACCTAAATTAGATCAAATAAACCTGAGTGAACAAATAACACAACAGTTACATACTTATTTCATAAACAAAGTTATGTAACACCCAATGCCCCTGTGTGAAAAAGGAATTGCCCCCTTACACTAAATAACTGGTTGTACCGCCTTTAGCTGCAATGACTCCAACCAAATGCTTCCTGCAGTTGTTGATCAGTCTCACATCGCTGTGGAGGAATTTTGTCCCACTCTTCCATGCAGAACTGCTTTAACTCAGCGACATTTGGGGGTTTTCAAGCATGAACTGTTCGTTTCAAGTCCTGCCACACCAGTTGGGATCAATTGGGATTAGGT